ACTACCTAGTTGTGAGCTGACTTGAGTGTCTACCCCAGAATAGAATTAGCGGTGGTGGGTCCTAACCATCCTGCCCTTGCTGTTGGGCAAACTGTTCTAGAAAATGACCCATCCTGAAGCACATCTGTTTTAGGGATACAACATCAATATCCATGAGAAATTGTGTAAACTAATCTGAGCTCAACTTTGGATGAATGCCTTCTTTGGAACTGGCAGTTACAGACACAGAGTTAGGGAATTACAGACACAGAGTTAGTGATGTGAGATCACTAGAATTTTTAGGTAAGCTTTTCATAAAATAGGAGTTGAGTGAGAACCTTGAAAATAATAGTTTCGTCCAGCACTAATGACACACAGTTACCAAGGAAGCAGAATCTTTGGGGGAGGGAAAGGAAATTCATGACATATGTGCTTGGTGGATCAAGACCTGTAACCTGCTCTAGGGCACAGTGCAGGGCACAGTGCTACATAGGACTGGATACCAGGAAAGTGTAGTGTCTTCTAGAAACTAGAGATATCCATGGTATATGGATGTATAAAATGTTTACTTACACTTAAGTGTGTGTACCGGCAATACATCTATACTGATTAAGAATTTGACCTTTGTTATGAGATTAACTGGATCCTATTCTCTGATTCATAGTCTGTATAACTCTGGATAAGTTTTTCTCTCTGTGCCATAGTCCCCTCATCAGTAAAATTAGGGGAACAATATTATCTAGCATATAATTTTGCAGATAAAATTAGATAATCCATGGAAAGTACTCTGCATACCTATAACCTAAGAAGTAATACCAAAATTATGACATCTATTCCATTACTGGTATTGTTTTAAAAAGTGACTTGAAGAAAATATACTGAAAATGTTAACAGTATATCTTGAATTGTATGATTGTTGAGTAAAAAAATACATTTGTAATTGTTGAGATTTTTTTCGAAGTTTTCTTCATTGAACATGCTATTTTGAATTAAGAGGAAATTTCCCCAGCTGTCAAATTATTTCCAAGTCAGAAACATTCTTTTGTAGAAGACAAAATACAAATGATAATTCCTAAGAGAAAGCTCCCTTTAAAATCCTTTTAACAATTAAATACATGAATGCAATTTAAATTAGACTCTCTTTAGTGCCATGCTATTCTCTAAAAAATAACTGATAAAAACTGATATGTTTTACTTATAGTTTACCTTAAGATTAGAGTGGGTTAGAGTATTTGGGGATATGTAACACCGGATTTGTTATTCCCTAATGACCTTGTGTACTTTCTAATGTTTAGCAACTAATAATTTTACTTAAAATAATTAGCTTGTGATTCCTTTGTAATAGTTAAACACCACGAATTATCCTCTGAAGGTCAGTAGCTAAAGTAAATGCCCTCAGTGGAATACATATGCCTTTATACATGGAAGACTAAATAATATTGAGTGTCCAGTCTTTTAAAATGGAATTTTGAATCACGTCAAGTAAATTCACCTTCTGGTGTGTGCATCTCATATTCTTTTGATTTATTCTCTCTTCCCTTTTCCGTGTCTTTATTAGATGGAGATCCAATGTTCCTAGTGTTAATTTTGGAATGATTCATTTCAGTTTACACCTAAGATTTTTCTAGCATTTCTAAATTTTTTCATCTTTTTCTTTACTCTTCTTGCTATTGTGTGCCTGATCTAACTAGTGTAAGCTTCCAGGGCACTATGATCTTTGTTACGAAACATGCAAGTTATGATGGGGCAGAAACATGAAAAAACTACCACCCAGTTCATAATTGACTTACTATGTAATGCATTTATTACAAAGATAAACATTTTTCCAATAATATATTTGGAACTCTTGTTCAAGAAATACCTCAAGAGACTGTATTAAATTACTATAAATATACTTATGGTGTCCAGGCCCTTGTGCTTTTCAGGATGGCTGTGATGTCTGCTTATATTCAAATGAAACTTGGAGCTTTATATTATAAATCCAACCAGGGTGTAAAGTATTGTTTTTGAAAATAAAATCTGAACATTCTGGCAGACACTGGCTAAGTATTCATCAAAATTAGATATAATAATCAAGTGTCATTTTAACTCGCCCTGAATGAGGACAGCTTGTAATCAAGCAGTATCCATTCTCACTGTTTTCTTTCGTAAACGAAGCCCTCTCATTTTAGGTGGCCTCACGGCTGCTTGGTCTGAAACCACATACAGAGCCTCCATTGCATCCAGGGCCACCATGTGACCACGCTCTTTCCAAAGACACATCAGTAGAGTTGATATATGAAGCCTCTGGTACATGTCCTTGAAAGGAAGCTTTTTGTTGTCCACACTTTCTTTTTTCCACGGAGTGGAATCCAGAAGTTGTGATAGACAGCCTCCTTCATCAACACATATGAGAGGAACATCTTAGGGGCTGGAGAAGGGTGTGGAGAAAGACCACCTGCTCCTCCAGCCGCCTGTAGCCGCAGACTCTTGCATTAAAGAGAAATAACTCTTCTTGTTTGAGCCACATTTATTTTGGTCCCTGTTGAAAAAGACAAACATTATTTTAAAATACTACTTGAGAAATTGGAAATAATATTTATTATCATTATTATATTAAATTCATATGGCATATTTTAGTATACAAAATATTCTTCAATTTTCTCAAAACTCACAAAATTCTTTGAGGTACATACTATTATCTTAACTTCACATATGAAGAAACTAAAGCTTGGGAAATTTTGCTTTGTCAGAAGTCATCTCCAGGAGCAAGGGCAAATATAGCACCTTTGAAGGTATGAGTCTGGTTTTGAAAATAACCAACAGTAGCTCATGGGAGGTTCCGCTGTGGTAACTTTCATTCTCTGATGTCTTTATCAGAGCTGTCCCCTACTGCACTGAGTTCTGGCTCCAGTCCTGACTCACTCTTGACCTTGAAGAAGTTGATTAGTCTCTGAAGACTTCAGTTTCCTCATACCCTTATATAAAGTTTGATTGGGGGAGGGTGGATGTTGGGAAAAAGGAAAATGTGTTTTTAAATAGAAAGCTGCATTTCTCATGAACAACAGCCTATTGGTTCTACTGCAAACATATCTCATCTGGCTCATTTTGAGAGTCTGAAGTCAAGTGTTATAATTCTGATCTCAATGCCACACCTCCAGTGGCAGACCTTATTAAATTTGGCTAGTAAGTAGCCCTTAATAACCAGCAGAAAACCAGCTGAGGAAGTATTGAGACGTGTCAGAATTGGACACTAAGAGAAACCTTTTTAATAAAAGTAAAATCTCTAGTTAGATAGAGAGTGTATGCCTAGGAAAGTAAGAGTGTATTCCCGGGCTGACAAGTATTGCTGTGAAAGAGATTTGAGTAGGTGTGGGAGGCACAGAAAAACAAGCAGGCCTTTCCATCTCTTTTATGGATCCTCCATGTGTTGAAATGATGGGCATTTCTAATCAGATAAACACTTTAACATGTGTCATACAGTTAACTCATATGAAATAGATAGCAAATTTGCTTTTGTTTATCCAGTTTAGGTGTATTCATGTTACACTTCCAATTTCATCCACACATAAAACTAAAAATTACTTAAAATTTTTTTATCCTTTGAAATTTAGTGAAACAATTGCTAGTTTGGGGGGAGGAGAGTCAAGAAAGGTAAAATATAATTAATGTTATTTATGCTAAGTTTTAACTAAATTTTGCTTCCTTGAAATCCAAATGCAAATCTGGTTGCAAAATGAGCTTGGTTTGAATCCCAACTTGAGGTTACTTAAAGTCTTTTAAACTCAATTTCCTAATCTGAATTATGTGAATACTGTGCAAGGTTATTGTGAGATTGGAGATGTCTGTAAAACAACACACGTGAGCAAAGTACATGGATCAGACGCTGATCTGCTCAGCATCTGAACTGAATTAATCAGGCCTCAGTAATGACTTGGGTGCAGTACTAACAAAAAATCAGGGTCTGTAGCTCACGCAGAATCAAGGCCAACATAATGCTTAACAGCCATCCCTTTAATATACTCCTCTATACTGACCAAAGTGAGGCGGCCAAGATAGCGAAGTGGTGAGTAGGAGCCAGATGATGACCTACACCTGTGGGCACGAGGCTGCGAGAGAAGTCTCGGTTTTGCTCACTTTCATGGGGAATGAGTAACATTGTCACCACTTCTCAAAAAGTATCTAGAAAATCCTGGTTCTCTTAAAGAGCAGTGGTCATCTTGGTTTTATTATCTGCAAACGATTACTTGTCCAGCACAAAAACAATCCTTTCCTTGCAATGGAGCCCACTGAGGAGTTAATGGCATTTCTGTCACTTCTTTTCAGGGATTTAGCATTTTTATTTAGCTGATTAAAATGTGGTGTAGATGATAATCATGCCAGATTTTTTTTTAATATCTTTATTGGAGTATAATTGCTTTACAATGGTGTGTTAGTTTCTGCTGTATAACAAAGTGAATCAGCTATACATATACTTATATCCCCATATCCCCACCTCTAGATGGTCACAAAGCACTGAGCTGATCTCCCTGTGCTATGCAGTTGCTTCCCACTAGCTATCTATTTTATGTTTGGTAATGTATATATATCAATGCTACTCTCTCATTTCATCCCAGCTTACACTGCCCCCTACCTGTGTCCTCAAGTCCATTCTCTACATCTGTGTGTCCTGCCCCTACATTCATCAGAACCTTTTTTTCTTTTTTTTAGATTCCATATATATGTGTTAGCATATGGTATTTGTTACAATGGAATATTACTCAGCCATAAAAAGTAACAAAATTGAGTTATTTGTAGTGAGGTGGATGGTCTGTCATACAGAGTGAAGTAAGTCAGAAAAGAAAGAGAAAAACAAATGCCAGATTTTTTTTTTAAAGAATCATTCAAACAGTCAAAAATGGCTTGTACCAGATTTTTATTTCTCAAAGAGTTTCTACTAAGGGAAAATTTGCTTAGATTATGCCCTCTGTCATCTTCTCAGTAAATGTTAAATCAATACAAAATGAGTGGGTTTGTATTTCTAAAAATAACATTTTTCACAGGAAGAAGAGCTAAGGAAGAGTGGGGAAGCCAAATATGCACACTTGAGTGATGAACTTCATGTATTAATTGAAGTGTTTGCTCCACCTGGGGAAGCTTATTCACGTATGAGTCATGCATTGGAAGAGATTAAAAAATTTCTGGTTCCCGTAAGTGCTTTTCATTTTTACAAAGATGTTTCTCATCAGTTTCTATTTAAAAATGTGCCTTTGATTTTCACTGACTTTTTAGAAAAGAAACATATTGCAGACTAATTATCTGTAAATTGATATGAAGATTAAAATTAAAAAGAATACTAAAAGCACTTAGCACAGGACCTGGTGCCACATAATGGTGGTTTGGAAGCAACATTTGCCTTCAGTACACTGCATGCCACACACCCATTCGTAGCCATGAAGAATAAGACAGTTAACACATAAACACAAATACGTAACTGAAGTTGTATACTTTTCTCTTGTGTCTTAATTACTTAGTAGTTGACATGTATTGTTCATAATATTTAATTAGTAGAGAATATCTTCAGGTAGAGTGAAAGGGGTAAAAGATTGAGCATAATATGTGTAACAAGACAACAGTAGTGTTTGAAAATATCAAATGTATCTTATGCAATAGTATGTCAGGTGCTGGCTCATTATAAAACATAATGTAAAATAATCAATACTAATAAAACTAGACATTTGTTGACATCACACAAAAATTGGAAAAAATAAACTTATTGTGCTATATGAGGGGAACAGAGAACGTTCATATAGTAAGGGAGCAAATTCAGGGTTGCATACTGAATAGAATTCTCTACTGATTTTCTAAGAAATAGAGGAAGGTTAAATGAATGAAGCTTTCCTAAAAGTCAACAATTTAGCATTCCAGGAAGAGGTTGTTTGCATAAAAATCTTGGTATTAAGCTTGGAGCTGGAATAAGATAATTAGAAGAGAATGCTGAGTAAAGTTTTCTGGATTGCCCTGGCAGGAATCTTCAGTGGACAGAGAAAGAGAGAATAGCTAAGATTAATCTGTGCAATGAAGAAACACTGTAGATTTCTAAACTAAGCAATAAACTCAGAGGAAATGGTGAGTAAGATTCATTGATTGGTAGTGATTTTGATAATGGGGGAAAAAAACAGAGAATTTCAGAATGGAAAAGCATCAAAATCTAACCACATAATCTATTTATATGCCCAGTTTTAAAATTCCTGTCAAGACAAGGTTATAGAATAATCCCATACCACACTGATTATTCCATAACTTTATATGCACACAGAATTTCTGCACAATTTATTATCTGGTACTTATCTGAACACTTCCCTAAATAGATCCCATGTTTCTTAAGAATGAGAATGCTATGTTCTCTCTTCCTTTTGCTTCTGAACTAAATGCCTGGTGCTGTTGGGTAAACAGTTTTACTATATTTAGCTCAGACCAGACCTCTGGTGATCTAGAAAAAGACTAGGACTGCCTACATTACTAACTCATTTTGTGACTGTAGACAAGTCAGTTAAATTCTCAGAACTTTAGCTTATTCATCTTTAAAAAGAAGGCAATAATAATAGACTGACATCTGTCATAAGTATTGTGAATATTAAATGGGATAACGCATATGAAAGGACATAGAAAATTATAAAGCACTATATATATATTTTATTATATATATTATATATAAGTAAATTGGTGTTTTAAATCTATCTTATTATTCTAGTAGATAAAATCTTGGAATGACTTTTTGAGGTGAAATACATAAGATTAAATATTATCTCATTACTACATAGATTTTAGACATAGGCTGTACACTAGGTTAACCCTATTTTATTATAAATACCAGTAATACATCTCGCTTACTTCTTAGACCCCTTGATACTTGTAATCATTTCATTTATATCTTCTCCACTGAAATATATGCTCTATGAGGCCAGGGCTGGCAGTGTCTCTTGTGTTCCCATCATTTAGAGTCATGACTGGCACAATAAGTATTTGTTTGATAGACTGACTGAGGGAGTGTCTGGGGATGATGCAGGGCATTAAAACCTCATCTGTGTGAGGTCTGGGGAATAGTACCCTACAATCAAGATGCTCTCCCTAAACAGATATAGATGGAGACGGAAAATGGAAAACCTTCCTTTGGCCAGTGTGACCTGTTCCTGCTGCCCCTCGGTTTTATCTCTGCCCGTCCAACAGCTCCTCACTGTGCATCAAACACCCCAGGCTCCCTCTTCACTAAGGGCCTTTGAAGATTCTTCTCCAAAATATTGACACAGCGATCTCCTTGTCATTCAAGTCTCAACTCACGTGGTATCATTGCAGGAAATTCTTCCCTCACTGCACAGTCTAAAGTAACCTCCTTATATTTGTACAGCCCTATTATATTTTGTCCATGATACCACCAGACACCCGATTTAACACTGTGATTCATTGTCCCATCATGTTCTGACCCTCTTCACTTATTTATTTTCCTCATAGCTCTTAACAGCTTCATATGTACTATATATATATTTTTTTACTTATTTATTGTTGGTTTCCCTGTAAAATATGTGTCATGAGGACATGGATTATTGTATCATTTCACTGCTTTATTCTCCCACCTTGAACTATGCCAAGCACATAGGAAGCACTTAATAAATATTTTTTTCTATGAATGAATAAGCTTTTAAAAAATAAATACTCTGATAACTCTCATTGTTGAATTAGTAAATTTTACAGTCAATGAAAGCTGTTCTACTTGGTAAATTTTTCCCATTTGCCTTGCTGGCCTCAGCACCAAGCAAAGGATGGCAGCTTCATTCATCACCAGAACCACAAGGGGCAAAAATTAACTGTCAGTTCTTTTTCTTTTATATGAAATCACTTGGTAATTCAGGTTTATTTTGACATTTATATTAAAGTCCATAGAAATACTCACATATCAGGATATTAATATTTACAAACATCACAGGTGAAGAATTATACCCAGTAAGAGGCAAACTAGAACAACATAGAAAGCTAATGTCAAGTAGCATGGAGGTCCACTGACATCTAATTCCTCTACACAATGAAGCGTCTTTCCATGGTTAGAACTTTCATCTTCCTCTATGTTATCCACCATCTACCCAACTTCTCCTACAATGGGCTGTGATCATCTAAGACTCCCGACTGTAGAACATACAACTCCTCATGAAACGTCTGAATGATGTCAGATGTTGGAAAACAATACAGTTTTAGTACTTTAAGTGATATGTTAAGACAAATGAATGATTATTGCCATGGGAAATATTTCCAGCTTGGTGGTTTCCATTCAGTCCTAACTAAACAAGGAGAGTGGCAGGTCAATAAAACATCAATAACTCGAACCCTGCTAATTTAATTTAATTTATTAATTTATTTGTTTTAAACATCTTTATTGGAGTATAATTGCTTTACAATGGTGTATTAGTTTCTGCTTCATAACAAAGTGAATCAGCTATACATATACATATATCCCCATATCTCCTCCTTCTTGCCTCTCCCTCCCACCCTCCCTATCCCACCCCTCTAGGTGGTCACAAAGCATCAAGCTGATCTCCCTGTGCTATGTGGCTGCTTCCCACTAGCTATCTATTTTACATTTGGTAGTGTATATATGTCCATGCCACTCTCTTACTTCGTCCCAGCTTACCCTTTCCCCTCCCCATGTCCTCAAGTCCATTCTCTATGTCTGCATCTTTATTCCTGTCCTGCCCTTAGGTTCTTCAGAACCTTTTTTCTTCTTTTAGCTTCCATGTATATGTGTTAGCATATGGTATTTGTTTTACTCTTTCTGACTTACTTTACTCTGTATGACAGACTCTGGGTCCTTCCACCTCACTACAAATGTCTCAATTTCATTTCTTTTTATGGCTGAGTAATATTCCATTGTATATATGTGCCACATCTTCTTTATCCATTCACCTGTTGATAGATACTTAGGTTGCTTCCATGTCCTGGGTATTGTAAATAGAGCTGCAATGAACATTGTGGTACATGACTCTTTTTGAATTATGGTTTTCTCAGGGTATATGCTCAGTAGTGGGGTTGCTGGTGAATGCTGCTAATTTTAAATCTTTAATGCTTTAAGAAGGTGCTAGGCTTCTGCTCACGCCCCGGAGCTGAGGTGCTGGGCGCCGCCGTTTTGCCCCAGGAGCTCTAGTGTGAAGGGCCCAGTGAGAGGCCTCTGCATGTGACCCCCTCTAAGCAAGAGCAACCAGACTAAGCACCAAGAAAAAGAAAAAAGGGTCCTTCGTCAGGAGGGAAGTGTCATCCTCGAGGATAGGAGTCCTTGAATCTGGCATCAGAGTCATTTTGGAGAATTGGTTAAAAACACTGCCTCATTTCCTCTGACCTCAGCCCCATTGTGAGGGATAATTGCTCCAGCAGCCTCTCTCAATCCTGTTGCAGCCGAGTGGATGAAAGGCTCTTGCTGCTCCAGCCAGGAGTCAGGACTCTGCCTCTGAGGTGGGAGAGCCAACTTCAGAACACTCGTCAACAAGAGACCTCCCAGCCCCACATAATATCAAACGGCGGAAATCTCCCAGAGATCTCCATCTCAACACCAGCACCCAGCTTCACTCAATGACCAGCAAGCTACAGTGCTGGACAACCTATGCCAACCATATAGCAAGACAGGAACACAACACCACCCACTAGCAGAGAGGCTGCCTAAAATCATAATAAGTCCACAGACACCCCAAAACACACCACCAGACGTGGACCTGCCCACTAGAGAGACAAGATCTAGCCTCATACACCACAACACAGCCACTAGTCCCCTCCACCAGGAAGCCTACACAACCCACTGAACCAACCTTAGCCACTGGAGACAGACATCAAAAACAACGGGAGCTACGAACTTGCAGCCTGCAAAAAGGTGAACCCAATCACAGTAAGATAAGCAAAATGAGAAGACAGAAAAACACACAGCAGATGAAGGAGCAGGATAAAAACCCACCAGACCTAACAAATGAAGAGGAAATAGGCAGTCTACCTGAAAAAGAGTTCAGAATAATGATAGTAAAGATGATCCAAAATCTTGGAAATAGAATGGACAAAATGCAAGAAGCAGTTAACAAGGACCTAGAAGAAATAAAGATGAAACAGACAATGATGAACAACACAATAAATGAAATGAAAAATACTCTAGATGGGATCAATAGCAGAATAAATGAGG